CAGCAACTCTTTTGATTTCATATTCCAAGTTCATAATAGCTACAGTGAGTTTCAAAATTACACCTTGTTGAAAAATTTTGGGACCCACTGTAATTCAGTTATATTAGCATATGATCGATGTTTACCATTATGAATACAAAATATTAAACCATCTTCTTCATTTGATTGTGTTAAAATTTGACTACATTCTACACAACGAATTGAAGCCTGTTAAAATAAAATACACGTACTAAGATAGGTGAAATCAATTTTGGACAAACTTCAGGATGATAATCATTATTTGTCATCTTAAACAATGTAACTATAGTTTTAGGTAAACGACAATCCGATGGAAAAAAATTCTAAGTTCTTTTAATAAAAGAGAAGTTTTTGCTTTGTAGAGACCAAGCAAATTAACCAAACGTATCAATCAATCACATGCATCACGAACAGATATTGGACTACCAGAATAAAATGAAGTTTCAACATTATCATTGTTTACACTCATTTCATCTCTAAAATCTTCAATACATAAATAGTTTTTTACAACTTCATCATTGTTAAAATTATTGTTAGATTCATCTAGACCATCTGATTCATAATCTGTATCGGAGTTTGTTAAAACACAAGTTTTTGATAAATGTTCGTTGAAGAAACAATTTGCGGCTGCTTATTGATCGTGACACAAATTAGTTTCTTCTTTTCCCCCATTATTATAATCTTCTTCTTCGGTACTTATATTCTCTAAAACATCTGTCTAAAATAAATAAATCAAATATTAGAAAAGAAAAATTGAATTGTTTCTAAACACAGACCGTACTGAATACGTGTTCTAATTCTCTACTTTGAGCAAAAAGGCGCCAATTTCGTTTATACTTCAAGTGTAAATGTCGCTGGAGGATTTTTTCGACATCCAAAATAAAAAAGAAAAATGTTTTACAATTCACTGGTCATTTCAAAAGATTGAACTCAATATTTGGTCTTCTTTATTTTATTTTATTTTTGAACAAACAATTGTGATACATTATACAGCAAAAAAATCATTTGGTTTCTCGTTAATTCTTTCGTATACGATACCTTATGATGTTTGTCTTAATATAAATAATCATGCTAGGTACTTATTTGTTCGTGAGTACTTCCTATACACGCTCTATGTAAATCAGTAAAAGTCTAGTGACATCTATAATTGAATAAATTTAATGCACCGCAAAAACTTAAATATTCAAGTGCATCACATGTGCTTGACAGAGAACTCAAGCACATTAGTTTAACTGTCAAGCAATAAAGTAAGAAAGTCAAGCGCTTGAGCTCAAAATAAGACCTCAAGTCTTGCCTCAAATTTTGTCCATAGTGCATGACTTTCTTGATCAAGATTCTCAAGTATCTCTTGCGCAGACCAAAAGAAGTTCGTCCATGGTAGCATCCACGTGCATGCTTATTGAATAGCTAACACACCATCACAATAACTTCCAGTTTTCGTTGCACTTCTCATGTAAGTAGATGGTCGAATGGTGAAAAAGTGCGTCTTATAAAACAAAAGTATTTTTATTCGAATCACATCTCTGCCAAAGACTACAATGTATTCATGTGTGTTCACGCATGGTTGCTATATGTGATTCGTTTCTTTATCATTCTACCGTTTTCTAGCATGTTCGTGAAACAATTCTTTACAATAATAACCGTATGTTCACGCATGCGATAATAAAATGCCTGTACATACACAAACTTCCATTTGTTAAAATCAGATTATCATTTATCCTGAGATATGTCCATATACATGTCATGTAAAACCAATTTGCGAACGCAAACCAGAGTTGAATTCGGCAGGATTTTTCCTTACCAATAGTGGTGTAAGCGGCCACTTATTGTTGTCAATTACAATTCTGATATAAACGCACCAGTGTGCGCTCAGTTATATGCATTTCATAAGGTATCATGTTGGCCCAGGATAACGAAATTTCTATCCAAATGATTCATTGACTTGAAAATAAAAGAAAAATAATTATAACCAATTTTCGAATTTTCTTCTCTCTATTGCTCGTCATTCGATTCATTGATGTTCTCCATTCAGAATTATTGTAACTGTTGTATGAGGTCGAACACACTCCGAATTAATTGAATTATCAAATTCAAATGAATAGACGTAGTGCTTAACAGAAAAATATTCAGATTTTTCTTGCATACCTTGCGAATCAATGAGGATGGCGAACCGTATATATTTTACTCCTTGAAAAACTTATTCATATTTCAAAAAATGCTTGACTGATAAGTTTGCTAGAAACTTTTGAAAATGGGAAAGGATATATATATGAATTTTAAATGTTGAATGATGACGACCTTATCGTTAAACCGAGCGCGTTGATTTCTTTGGTTTAATCTATCAAAGTTGTTGCAAGATAACTGTATTATAAAGTTATATTGAGTGGTTTGACAACCGCTGTAAAGTCAGCAGAGACATATTTATCAATATAAACACAGGATAACTAAAGTATTCATGAAATATTACTTTCATTTTTCCATACAAAACATTCACCAGTTCCCAAATCCTAAACACAAATCTTCTCACATCGAAATGTCTACTACACAGTTACATCAAACAACTTTACTCTTCACTGTCTTCGAACGTACTTCGTGAATATTTGCAGATGAGTCTTTGTCATTTAAAATATGCTATACATAAAGAACAAACTATGACAAACATTCAAATATTTTCTTCGATTCAACGCGGAGACTTTTAGTTGACAGTATTTTCAAGAAACGTACAATCCACAAATAATCCATATCAAAAAACTATTCAAATACTTTATTCCATTTCAAAAAACCGATTTGCAGTTCATTAGATCATTGAGGAGCACACCACCAAGAAATGACTTATATCAAACAACTATTCAAATATTGTTTTCAATTCAAAGCAAACGTTTCTACGTCATTTTATGATCACGGAACACTCAATAAAGAGAATAAATCAGATAAAACAACTATTCAAATATTTTGTCCAATTCTAAGGAATGATTTGTAGTTCGAGAAATGACCCAGGTACACTCGATCAAGGAACAATTTATAAGAACAATTATTCAACTGTTTTGTTGAGTTCTAAGGAAAGACTTTTAGTTGATGAAATGACTCAGGTACATTCGGTCAAGAAACAATCTATATCAACAATTATTCAGATATTTTGTTCAATTCAAAGAAAAGATTTTTAGTTGATGAGATGACCCAGGTATACTCGATCAAGAAACAATTAATAAGAACAATTATTCAAATATTTTGTTCCATTCGAAAGAAAGATTTCTAGTTGACGAAATGATCCAGATACATTCGATCAACAAACAATTTATAAGAACAATTATTCAAATAATTTCTTCAATTCTACGTAAAGATTTTTAGTTGATGAAATGACTCAGGTACATTCGATCAAGAAACAATTTATACGAACAATTATTCAAATATTTTGTTCAGTTCACTACAAAGATTTATAGTTGAATGTATTATTGACGAACGTACCATCCAGAAATGGTTCATTTTAAGCGACTGTTCAAATATTTTGTTCAATGTCTAAGGAAAGATTTTTAGTTGATGAAATGCCTAAGGTACACTCAATCAAGAGACAATTTATATAAAACAATTATTCAACTGTTTTGTTGAATTCTAAGGAAAGCTTCTTAGT